TCGAGCGGGTAAACCCTAAACCTTAAACCCTAATTCCTAAACCTTAAACCCTAGCTAAAAACATGATAAGGAGTCCGAGCTTGGAGCAGCAACGCCCAGGAGCCAAGACGCTCCGGATGCTGGGTTGGTGTTGAAGATCTTACGGTTTAGGGTTTAGCAGTTTAGCATTTAGGGTTCAGAGTTTTTCAGTTTATAGAAATTGTATAGGGTTCAGGTCGGGAGTTTTGAGAGGGTCTTAAGCGTATTTTGGTTGGGCTTTGCCAACCTGACCTCTAAACTTTCTTGGCTGCTCGATGGGCATTTTGCCCTTTGCTCCGAAAGGCTAAAACTTGCTTCCAAAAGGCCAAGATTGGTTCTCAAAACAGGAGTTTTTTTGGAGGCCTTTCTTTCAAAGCAAGTTTTTGCCTTTTTGGAGCCAATTGGGCATTTTGGGGCCATTTTGGCCCTTTAGGAAACAATTTGGGCTTGCAGAGTCAATTGGGCGCTTTGGAATCATGTTCAGCCAGCCAATTTGGGCCCAAAGCCACCATCCCGCAGGTTGGGTTCTTTTTCACTGAGAGTTTATTTCTTGGCGGTCCTTCCCCAACATCGCGGGCGAGAATGCAATTTCTACTTATCATGGGCTTGAGAGTTTGGGGTTTGGGGTTCTAAAATCAAGCTACCAAGTTATTAGACAGGGGGTTATGCAGAGGTTATATGGGGTCATGTAGGGTTTAAGGCTATTCCGCTGAGGATGTTCAGTTAAGTTACTATCATGGGTTCCCTTTGCAGGGTTTATGTGTTTTTTAAGGGCTGGGCTTGGGGTTTGAGTCACCATAGTGGGTTCTTGTTAAAGGGGTTATATAGGGTTTAGGACTGAGTAACCACAATACCAATACGTGTACATATATATATATATATACGTATAAATATACATATGTATATAGTACAAACTGCTGCTTCATGATGGTATCTCTCAACCTCAAACCCTAAACCCTGAAACCCCCAAACCCTGAACCCCTAACCTAAGCCCCTTAACCCGTAAACCCGCAACCCCTGAACCCCTAAACCCTAGACCCTAAACCTCCTAAACCCCAAACCCCCAAACCCCTACACCCTTAAACCCCTAAACCTCCAACCTCCAACCCTAAACCCCCAAACCCTAAACCCCTTAAATTCATGATTTAAAAGCAACCGAGGATGTCCCGGGCCTGCGCGCCGAACAAACCCCACGGCTTCGGGAAGAGGTGCGCTGGTTTTGGCTTGTTATGTGCTTCCAAAGGGTTCGGGTTGAGGGCTTTTAGTTTAGGGTGTAGGGCTTAGGGTTCAGAGCTTAGAGCTACACATGTGGAAAATGTTCGGCTTGCGCCTTGGTGCTGTCATCAGGCGTTAGCCATGATGCGACGTAGTCCTTAAAGTGCAGACTATCCCGCTACCTGGAGGTTCAGGATGTGCAGTTTAGGGAATGAAACTGGCACCTATAAAGCAATCATAACCATCTTACGTGATCTAGGGTGCCCGAAGTTGGGAGAGAAATACCGATATTTTTTGGTTATAATTACCCTGAACCTTCAAGTAACATTCCTTCCACACTTGACGTCTGCGTGGGCATCCAGGAAGTCATTTGGTTGCGAAATCGGAAGGCCTCCCTGCAAACTCAATCATACCAATGCCTGTGAACTGCTCCATACATTTCCAGACCCTCTCATTGCAGATTCTGCAGCAGTAGGAAACCTTGATTTTGTGTAAGAACGGAAGTACAAGGCCTTCATGTTGTTCTGTAACGCTGTCGGTTGAGGGTTCAGGGTTAAGGGTATCTAGTGGACGTGTAAGGGAGGGGACAATGGTGAAGTAAAGATGCTGTAGTAAATTTTGTTTTGCAGGGGTTAGTGCACCAGAAATTTAGGGCTTAGGAACTGGGTCTCAACGTTGAGGATGCTGGGTTGAGGATTTATAGGGATTTAGGGTGTGAGCTTTGGTATTTTGGGTTTAGGATTGTGCTTTGGGAATTTTGGGTTTGGGGATGTGGGGTGGAGCGGCAGAGGTTTGAAAAATGGGATACGTCAGTCATTTTCATGTACAGGTTTGAAGGCTTTGTCCGATTCCCTAGCCTCAATCCACAGCGGGCCATCTTCTCTACAGCGACAGCCGTGGGAACCCCTACAACTGGCCCTAAACCCAAGTAGAAAATACAATTAGAAATTTACATACTACTACTAGTACTACTACTACTACTACTACTACCACTACTACTACTACTACGACGACGACGACGACGACGACTACGACTACGACGACGACTACGACTACGACTACGACTACGATTACCACCACCACCACCACCACCACCACCACCACCACTCCTCGTCATCCTCGCCTTTCGCTCCTGCTCCTGCTGCTGTTTGGCCATAGGGAGCTTCAACCTGCTTTCCTGATCTCTCCTTGAAAGTTGCTCTTACCACCCCAAGCAATAAGTAGTATTCCCCGCTGAAAGAAGCGTACTGTATGCTGGGAAGGTTTAATTGGGCGGAAGCCTTGTTGTTTGGGGAAAGGGATGGCTCTCGTAACTTGGAGATGGTTTCCGCTGTATGATTCAGGGTTGGACCCTGAACCCTGAAGGTTAAGGGTTTAGGGTTCACGCCTAGATTTACGCAAAACTGGGATCAACTTCCTCTCCAAGCAACCAAGCTAATGTAGCAAGGCATTCTCCCCACACCCAAATCCCTCACCCCGAAGCTTTCCCAGAAATCTCAAGCCACCCCACGGACACACCAAGGCAATTGTAAGGCCTTAGCCGTAGCCTAAACCCTGAGACTTTACGTCTTCGACCCCGAAACCTCACCCTAACCACCCCCAACCCGTAGACCATGAGTTTACTGGTTGTGAGTAGGGAAGAAGGAATATGTTGTTCGGGATTATATAGGGATTGTATTCCCTTATTCCCTACTAAGCACCAGTCAGACAAGGTTCATGCTGATGAAGTCATTGAGCCTCCGGCTGCTTCCACCCCGGTATTCCCGGCCTTCTCGAAGGCCAGGTGGAGAGCTGTTGACCTTAAACGGTTCGGGGTTAAGGGGTTGAAATCTTGTTACAAGGTGTTAGTGGCGAATGAGGGAATAATATCATCCCTATATAATCCCTATTCATAATATTCCCTTATTCCCTACTTACCCCCGGCAAGTTTGAGGGTTTAAGCTAGGGTATAGGGCTTAGGTTTGATTTTGCGCTTTGGGCTGGTGTTACGGGGATCCAGTAGTCTTCGTAGGGCCCCTTTTGAGGGCAAAACGATACAGCAGTCGCTAACCCATCACCTTAACAGTGCAAGACCCACACGGCACCTCCTTATCATCATTGTCTGCTACCTATGGAAGGGCATTATACCGGTGATACTTTTTGCTGTGCGGAGGTGGTTTTGTTACTAAGAGGAGGTGATTATCATCGCGAAATTCATGATGATCACTGTAATATTACCATGATGACCCTAGACCCCAAGCCACTAAACACTTGACACTGGACACTAGTCGCAACCATGAGTGAGCAAGTAAGTCTCGGGCTTAAGTTTCGGGTTTGTCGTATCAAGTAGAATCCAGGTTCGTGTTTGGAGGTTGCATTAGGGCTTCGCTGCGTTTGGCACCTAGAGTTGTGGACTTGGGGCTAGGTTTTAGGGATTAGGGCTCGGAGTCATGAATGTCAGGTTTGGGAATAAACGGGAAGAAAGCTTCTGCAAACATAGATAACGCAAAGGTCCACAGACATAGGTGGCACGTATATGCACGCCCATGATTTCTCCCCAAACCCTTGACAAAGCGAAGCGAATACGTAGGTAAATTCTTTGGATCCAATAGCAGAATCAACATAAGTAAGAGCAACATGGTAATTTCCGTAATTGGGGGGACCGCCTTTTTTGTGGCAGTTGCGGCTGCATCACTAGCTCTGCATGCTGCCATGTGCTTCCAGGTTAGCTCTTGTCATCATACCTATCAGACCCCCTATAGACCTCCATATGATAATATTATAAACCACATTATGGGGTCGCATAAGAAGGTACCCCAATCTTAGTAGCCCCCCCCATGTGAGCAGCAGTAGTAGTAAGAGTAGTAGTAGCAGCAACAGCGTGCCCTGTGGGTCCTCGTCTTGCCTCATCCTGCTTCTTCGGAGTCGCTGGGAGAAATCTGAAACAGCTTGTTTCAACCATTCCCTTCACATTAAAACTCCGAACACTACTGCAGGCCTAAAACCCGAAACCCGAACTGTATCACCTAAAGCTTCCGTGCCCTTACATTCTTACCGTCCCAGATAGGGTTTAGGGTTTAGGGTCCAACGCTGGGTTCTTCAGGTGCTTCCATTTTGCGGATCCTCTTAGGGGGGCTTAGACGTGTCCTTCCTCTGTCATTCCAAGGGCAATGCCTTAATCGGGTACTGCGCCCACCCAATGTATCACTTCATGGCCCTAGAAGATTGTAAGTAACGCGGGCTGCACCAATCCCTAAACCCTAACCCCGCCAAACTCTAAAACCCTACCCTTAACCCCAAAACCCTTAACATCCCAAACCCTACACACCTCATTTCCTGCAAGCCGGCTGGAGGCACTGAGAGATGTGCCAGCGGACAGGACGGCGTCCCTGAAACCCTGCTGGTTTTCATACATTATTGAGTGGCTTTGGGTAGAAGTTGAAGGCTGAGGGTTGTTGTAGTTGGGAAACCTAGAGAATTCCGGAAACATTGCGAGTCTTAGGAGGGGGTTATTCTTTAAGCTAAGAACCCTAAACAATCAATAGGTAGTTTCCCGAAATAGGGGACCCAAATATAGACCCCCAAATACTGCAGTCCTTATTATACTGGTGATGGAGGAAATCTTGCACCACCTGAATCCCCTAAACTACTGTAAATCCTAGGACATTAAGGGTTTAAGGTGGTGCAAGGTCCATCCATCAACACTAGGATCCCTATATTGGGAAACCCCCAATAGCTGTCAATAAGGGGCTGAGAAGGCTGCTGATTTGACTGTGGGCTGGCCAAGGATGCGCGAAGCGCCAGCCATTTCGGGGGATAGGCAGACGCAGGACTGCTTGGGGCTGCGGGATTTAGGGACTCTAGTGCAATTTCATGTTTTTTGTGGTAGCAGTTCTTCTGCACCCATGTGAGAGTTCATCTGGTTGAGGTCTGGAGGTTCGAGAGTGCTATGAGCTGAAGGTGTGCTTCCTTTCTGAGCGTACTAGGGGTTTTCGTTGAAACACAACATAAACACGGAGAGGGAGCTACTACACTGGACCCAGGACATGTATTTGCATTCGCATCAGACGTCTTCAAGACTTGATGGATGAAATCCAGACAGTGATGACGCGGGGTTTTGGGTCGGTTGGTGGATTAAGGCTTTCAGATGCATTATCTTGAACCCTGAACCCTACTGGAACCCTAAACCCTACACATGAGACGAATGGCTAAAGTTAGGGAATTCCCTTGTGCGCTCGCTGAGGTCCGGGGCTTGCCCTCTACGGTGATGAGGGGTCTTTGAGGTTGAAGGTTTAGCGGTTTAGGGTTTAGGTTGATGCTATTGGGGATTTTGGCGGTTTGAACAGGTACAAGATTTCGGTAGAGCATTCCCTGCAGCCTTGGGTCTAGAAAGTCCACCTCAGACACCTACCAAGAATCCCCTGTCCCTTGCGGTTTAGGAGTTCAGGTCTATGGTTCAATTCTGTTCTTGGTTGTAAGAGTGAGTGGCGACGGTTTAGGGCTTAGGGCTTGGTTACTTTCATGGTTCGCTGCCCTGTCCTTATTTCGGAGCGCCCTCCCCAGCCTGCGAGGGCTTCACAAAAAAAAGGAAAACAGAATATAGAGGGGCTGCCAAATTTTCCTCAATCCACATGTACCGCCAAGATGTGTCAGGGCACCCTCAGCAACCCTAAACCTACAAAGGCTGTGGTGTCCGCACCCTGGGACTTTCTCAGGACCCCGGCACTCTGCGTGTATCCCTAGAGCCCCAGACGTGTACCCGTGCGAGGACGCCAAGCCCTAAACCTTATATAAGTTGTAAAGAGGGCTTAGGGTTTAGGACTGAAACCCAACACCCCAAGCCCAAACTTTATCTGCTAAGCGCCAAGTCCTGGACACTAAGCCTCTAGCCGTAAACCCTACATGTGAGCTAGTCTAAACTCATAGTATCCCCCTTGTGGTAGTCCCCTATCTAATCCCTTATATAAACCCATTTAAATCAGTTTAAATTTTGGCTCATGGGAGGACCCGGACCCGGTGCAACGCTTAGATGATCTGGCACACATTCTGAAAGCCGAGCTCGTGCGCACCGAGCAACTTCACTCGGTTTCAGGGTTTAGGGCGAGGGCTTAGGGTTGTAGTCCCTCTTAAGTAGATAGAATATGGGGTATGGGGATCATATTATACTTATAACGTCTCCAAAGCCGTATTCTATCTACTTTAGGGGGACTATCAGGTTTAGAGTTAATGGCTGGGGGTTCAGGGTCGAGTTAGCCTTAGTGGAATTTATCGGAGAAGCCTCTATGTGATTCCTTCTACGCTAATCATCTGCAACCCAAGACCCCATCTATCTCCAGAGTCCCAGTTTAGGGTTTCGGGTTCAGGGCTCAGGGTCTAGGGTACCCTTTGATGGCTGGTTCTGGTAAGTGCATATGGGGTTCCATGTAAAGGAAGGTTTGTACGCTCCAAAGCCTAACCTCTAAACCCTTCAGCCTTCACGGAGCCCTGAGGTCGTCCTAAAGCCTACTTCAGATTACCCATAGATTCCTACAGATGAATCAGCTTTGGAGCCTAAACCCCGGAGCCCAAACCCTAAGCCCAGAAAGCCCTGACACAGCCCACATATATATATATATACATATACACCCTACTATACTATAGTAGTTTCCATTTTATTTTCCATTATCCCAATATACAACCCCTATATATGTATATAATAACCAAGACCCTTTTGGTTTTCTTGGCGGAAGACTACCATAACCTTTCGAAAGACTCCCAAAGCCTTGCAATAACACAATCCAAAGCCTCTGTTGCATGCCCAGGCGCCACATGCAGGTCGCAACTGAAGAAGCCCTCAAGAGGTCTGTGGCAAAGAGACTTGAGCAGAATTTGGTTCGGGCTAAGGTTTGAGGATGGGTTTCAGAGTTTGGGATAAAGGTTGGATACTGCCCCCTATGATATGATTGTATCTAGGCCGCATAGCATTACCCCTATGGCTGCTTCGTGATATAAATGCCTGAACATCTATTGAACCAAAAACTCACGGAAAGGGTCCCCGTAGACACCGTCTTTGTTTATCCGGGACACAGTTGTGCATGTAGTACATCCCTAGACCCTAAACCCTAAACTTCTACCTCTACGTCAAGTTCGAGTTATGAGCAACCCATGGTCAGTGTAGTTGTTCCCCCTGAGATGCAATGGCATCTAAGCAGGGAAGAGGTAGCCAAGGGCACGAAGTTGTCGTTGTGGTTCCGAAAAGGATGACCCGGCGACCCGTGTAGTGTGGATACAGTACCTGACGTATGAAGATGTCGGGTCGTTGCGGCTTGCTGGGGCTGTGAATGGAAGACAGTTCCTCTAAACCAGTGTCGGAGTCGGCAGGCGTAGAAGTCCGCTGGTTAAAAAAAAAACTTAAGCGCCAAGGTCTCACGATACGATATTAGGATGAAGTCTTGATCTGCGTGGCCCAAGGAAAGCGCAATTCGGGCTGAAGGTTTATCATACATACTGCCATGACCCTCGTGCATAGTCCCTATGACCCAGAAAGCTAGCCCATCATCGCGAGAACTCTTACCCCAAACCCTCATCCCTAAACCCTACTCCCTAAACCCTTCACCCTGACCTGAAACAAAACCCTAACCCCCACAAAATGCCAAGGATCGAGGGCCTCCTGCACGAGTGCGCCTTGATCATGCTATGCGAGGGCTTGGGCTTCAGGATTTTGGAGCCTTAAACCCGAAACCTAGGGTTTTGGGTTTAGAGTTTGGGGTTCAGGATTTTGAGGCAAGCGGAGTTTCTACGACTGGGGGGCAAAAGAGTCCCACCACTCCTGAGTTTGGATTAGGGGTTACACCTTAAACCCTAAGCCCCTAAACTCCATAAACCCCTAATCCCCTAAGCCCTACACCCTAAGCTGAGTGGTCTACCAAGATGAAGACGGACAATGTATGGGTTTTAGGGGTTAGGGTACCCACCTATTCTCAGAACGCTTCTTTGGACTGGGCAAAGCAAAGCAAAATCGAAACACTTTCAAAATGGGTGTCAACTTGCCCTGTGCATTGATTATGGCTTACGGGGGGTGAGTAGGAATTATTCTCCCTTATTCACAACCGGCGTAGGTCACGCGTTGATGTTCATACAATTCAGGCAGCTTCTCAAAAGTTTAGCATCCCGACACCCTCCCCACGGAACCTCTGGCCAAACCTGAGGCACCAGGGGTCCCAGCGCGTTCGACGAGGCCACATGTTGGAAATAGAAAGAGGAAGGTAGCCCGAGTGATCCTACACTAAACTGGGTTGCTGTTAAGGAACTTGAATTAAGTTACTGTATAGGAGAAACCCTATTATTTACTATGTGTACCCATTATGGTAACTTAATTTAAGTTCCTTAACAGCAACCCAGTAAACCTCAAACCCTAAACCATAAAGCTGGCTAAGTCTGTTAGAGGCAGAGGTATGCGTGAAAGCTCTCCTCGAACCCCTATACAGGTGTTTGGGGTTTTCGGGCTTGGGTCGGCCTAGCGCGATGGGATTTTGGACGCAGAGATAGAAGAGTTCCCCATCAGGTGCCAAGTTCTGGTTTCCGCGGGGTTCCTGTATATGAGCCACAATTTAAACTCCTATAGGGGTTATACAGGGGATGAGGGATACTAGGAGTCCAGATTATAGTAGCTCATACTTGGAGGGTCAGGGCGACTTCGTAAGTAGGTTAATGATAGGGACAATGGGGTTACTATATGGTTTATAGGGTTGATACGTATACTTACTAAGTCCCCCCCGACCCCCTAAGTATGATTGATATCCAGAAGCTTGCTCATTTCTCTCTTCGGGCTCAGGGTGTAAGATTGGGGCTACTGTCAGTACTAGGCTTATCAAGGGTTTAGGGTCTAGGGTGTCCCTTTTGGGTGTTTGGCATGGTCCTCAATAACTTTCCGAATAATAAGAACCCGTGTCCATTCATTTTCTGGGTCATACTGAAGTTCAGCCACTAGGGGCGACTATGGGCGCCCAATTTCTGAATCACATTAAAGCTGAAGAGGATTGATGTTAAGAGCCATGAGACTGTCTAGAAATTCTCGAACCTCGTCGTCGTCAAATAATTAGTCCTGAATGTTGCTTTTGTTCGATTGTAATACTTTTTGCAAAACCTTGATTTTTGTTTCTACCACCTACACTATGGGAACGATGCTTAACGTACTGGGATCTGGAAGAGTTTCTTGCAAGCAATTGGGCGATGTATTGAAAACAGGTCTACAGTTCTCCGGCACTACTTGGAGAATTCTTGGAAAATTGATCCTAAGTCGGGAATGGGATTACATGTAAGACTTCGCAAGTGACTCAGGAAATGCATGATTCATCCAAGTGGTATGAAGAATGCTTCTCCCTCATTACAGTGAGGGACCCTGGATCCCTGTAAGTGAAACCTTACACCCTAAACCTCTAAATCCT